CCAACACACACACACACGCACACACGCTCACACACAAATACATATGTAATAGAAACTATTATAAACAAAAATCGAAAAAAAATATGCAGAGACAAGATAATGGTGGGATATTTTCTTCTTTGTCAGATCCAGAAAATGGTTCCACAGCTTTTAAAATGTTTGATTTTTTAAGATAGACAGGTAGATACAAAAATGCGTAAGTATCCCCAGTCACTCACTCGTTAATTCACTCCCATTCTCACACTCATATTCACATTCTCACACACCAATATACTCATCTCTCTCTCTCTCTTCCCCTATCACTCTCTCTCTCTCTCCTTCCTCTCTCTCTCTCCCTTCCTCCCTCTCTCTTCTCTCCCTATCTCTCTCTCCCTATCTCTCTCTCTCTCTCCCTCTTTGTCTTCTCTCTCTCTCTCTCTCTCTCTCGCTCTCTCTCTCTCTATCTCTCTCTCTCTCTCTCACACACACAAAAGGACGAAATAAAAACACCAATGGCAGGCGGAAGCTTCTATGTTAGGTACACAGCACAGCACCAACCACAGTCACGCGAGGTTAGCCGCTTCTCTTTACTCCAAGAACGATACAGACAAGGTTACAGAGGCTTACGACGCGTATTTTCTTCCATTATTTTTTTCTTTCTCTGGCTACATGACGTTGACAGCACTAATGGGTTGCTGGGGACTAAGGGTATATGGGTGGGCATCTCTCGGGGTCGAACTGGCAACTCAAACTCCATGGGCACGGTGTACGCTGGGCCTCCGTTTTCTTTGGTTCCCTTGCCTTGGAGGGAGAACTGAGGAAAACGGGAAGGGGCGATGGCTTGGGGGAGGGAAGGTGCAATTGGGGACGAGTGAAAATGACGAGCAAGGGGGGGAAGGGAGGCTGGGAGGCTGGAGAGAGGCAGGGGAGCTAGGGAATGTCAAGCCAGTATTATAAATACATTTGTGAAAATAAATAGATCTGGATCCGAAACTAAACAACACCGTTCATGTTGAGCTAAAATAATCATCATCGAGTTATATCCAACTTACAGACTACAGACTACAAAGTGTAGAAAAATATCAGTGGAAGTGTTGACAAGCGCACCAACCGCGGAAACAGATGTATTTTTGTTTTCTCTCTCCTGCAAAATTATCAAACGAGTTGTAATAATCTTGGAACACGAACAACTTTTGAGGTATTGGAGGCCATTTTCGACGATGCCGGCTAGATTGAGGTGGTTTCTCTCTCCGGAAAACTACCGGTTCGTCTAACTCCTGTATAACAATATATAATCTCGATAAAGAAATAAAATATCCTTCTTTTTTTTTCCTTAGAAAGGTGTGACAGTTGTCTCCTTTTGACAGTGACAAGATTCTGCTGAAGCTATTCCTCTAAAAGTAAATACTGAACGTCACTGTGACCTAAAATGTCATATAAATGAACACTCGGCAATGTCTATATACAGTTTAGCTATTCGTGGTAGCTTTTGTACATCGTATTAACCATAACAGTCGTCTAACATGGCGAACATAGTAGCCCCATCATTGTGGCTCAACACGCCTTAAAGCTTAAATCTCTAACAACATTTTATTTGACTATTTACTTACAAACATTTCCTTTATTCCAAGGAACTAACAATATCTCCTTAAAGCTGGGAACGAAAACGAGAAAAAAAAAAGATTTCTGGAGCTCAACAGCATTGAAACAGAGCTCATCCAAGGCTCACTGAGTTTTGGTTTTCGTGAATAGCTTTGATTTCGAGACACAGCTGGGGAGTGGCTGTGCCTTGTCGACTCAATGTAGAGATAGTCTTCAGTAGAGGAGTTAAGGAATGAGGAAGAGGAGGCGTTTAGAATGATTCAAGGAAGCAGACACAGTGTGAGAAAGAGATATAGATCTATGATTCATTGTTTTGTTTTTTATCCTCGACTGAAATATATGTCTCAAAAATGTTGGAGTCAGCGTCGGTAAAATCGGGGGAAGTCACTCCTGGACACTGAGTCGCTGCGGCAACATGATCTCGATTTTCAAATTCGAAAAAAAAACACCCAGACAAAGCGTCTATGTCACATTGAAAAGCCCAACAGTTCCTGCTCTTAAATCCTAAAATGTGCGAACGCGTGGATCACTCGGACCACTCTTTGTGCTAGATTCATCACCGATCAAGTCAGTCAGCTCTTCAGCACGAATCTCCATTTTAAAACTCCTTTTTGAAAGTTCTGGCGCAGACACCTTAGACAAAGTTCTCCAGAAGCCTTGTCTGCGAGCGGAATTCGTTGTCTCCTCTTCGGGTTCAGACAGCCTCGGGTGTTCCTTCGCCGCGCCGGGCATCCGAGGGGGGCGTCGGGCGCGGCTGGGGGCGGCGGGGAGGTCATAGCTGCGTCTCCATGTCGCAGTGCCACGGGCGCCCCGAGGGGTCCAGTCGCGGGGCGCAGGGGGAGGGCAGGGCGAGGGCCAGGCGGGGCGAGGAGGGGCAGGGAGAGGGCACGGCAGGGGAAGGGCAGGGGAGGGGGAGGGTCAGGTGGGGTGGAGGAGGAAGGGAACTGTCATAGCTGCGTCTCCAGGTCGTAGTGGCACGAGTGCCTGGGGAGCGCCAGGCGCGGCGTGGAGGGGATGTCCCGCTCCGTGTGCGAGCGCCGCAGCGGCGAGGGGGACATCGTGCCCAGGAGGGGGGCGGACACCCGCAGCGCGTCGTCGTAGGTGGGCGGGGCCTCCGTGGGCGTGGTGCGGCGCCGCCCCTGGAACGGGTCGAGCGGCGTGACGGGCACGAGCGGCGACGGGTGGTACAGCACGTAGCCGTTGTGCAGCGACGTGCGCGACGCCGCCGCCTCGATGGACGACGGCGCCAGCTCCGAGCCGACGCTGGCGGAGGACGGCGCCGCCGGGAGGCTGCCTCCGTTCTGGATGTTGCCGTTGGCGTCGACGGCGGGCGCGAGCGAGGCGGGGCCGCCGATGTCCATGAGGAGCGCCTCGCTGTAGGAGGGGACGACGGTGCAGTTGTTGGCGATGGTCACCTCCAGGTCGTGGCTGTCCGTCGCCGCCGACCCGCGGGACGCGCGCCCGCCGCTCACGGGCGTCGTGTAGTTGACCCCGAAGAGCTTGGTCACCTGTGGGCGGGAGTTTCAGCAATCAGTCTAATGGCATTTCTTTGGAATTTTACTCTGGGATGAAATCGACTACAGGAGTACATCTACAGACACCTCTTGCTAATATTCTCTCTCTGACAAACGGGAACATATACCACGCAAAAGAATGTGTGCTAATTTTGGCCATGTATTTACTTACATATCAGTTAATTTTCGAACCAAGAAATATGGATCACCTTATACTCTGATATCAGTCATGCATCATACACTCCACACACCATAACCGTACTGACAAAAAGTGTTTCCTTCGCTTCTTCCCGTCCACCGCCATTCCCATCTCCTCTCCTCCTCCCTCCCCTTCCTCCTCCTCCCTTCCTTTCCTCCCCATCCTCCTCTCCCTTCCTTTCCTCTCCTCCCTCCCAATCCTCCCCACTCCCTCCCCTCCCCATCTCCTCCTCCATACCATCCCACTTCCTCCTTCCCCTCCCCTTCCTTTCCCATCTTCCTCCCCATCCCCTCCCAATCCACCTCCCATCCCACCCCTCCCAATCCTACCTCCCCTCCCTTCCCAATCCCCACCTTCCCCTCCTCCTCTCCCACTCCCTCCCCTCCCCATCCTCCCATCCCCTCCCCTCTCCTCTCCCTACTCCACTCACCTGATAGTGCACGTACGCCGTGTTGTACTCGACGATGAGCCTCAGCGGCCAGGACAGCAGGAGCAGCGACGCCACCCAGAAGACCGAGTGGCGAGTGTACCAGGGCAGCCGCTTCGTTATCCCACTCTCTTCCCTTCCTTTCCTCCCCAGTCCCTCCCCTCCCCATCATCCCCTTCCCTTCCCACCTTCCCCACTCCCTCCCCTCTCCCTTCTCCCCAATCCCTCTCCCTTCTCCCATCCTCCTCCTCCCTCCCATCCCTTTCCCTTCCCTCCCCTCTCCCTACCCATCCACTCACCTGATAGTGCACGTACGCCGTGTTGTACTCGACGATGAGCCTCAGCGGCCAGGACAGCAGGAGCAGCGACGCGACCCAGAAGACCGAGTGGCGAGTGTACCACGGCAGCCGCTTCGTTATCCCCACTCTCTTCCCTTCCTTTCCTCCCCAATCCCTCCTCCCATCATCCCCTTCCCTTCCCACCTTCCCCAATCCCTCCCCTCCCATCTCCTCCTCCATACCCACTCCCATCCTCTCCCCTTCCCACTCCCTCCACTCCTCTCCCCACTCCCTCCCCTCCCCATCATCCCCTTCCCTTCCCACCTTCCCCACTCCCTCCCCTCCCCATCTCCTCCTCCATACCTATCCATCCTCTCCTCCTCTCCCCTCCCCATCCCCACTCCTTCTCCCCTTCCCCTTCCCACCCTCCCAATTCCACCTCCCCATCCCCCATCCTCCCCCTCCTCTCCCTCCCCTCCCCATCCACTCACCTGATAGTGCACATACGCCGTGTTGTACTCGACGATGAGCCTCAGCGGCCAGGACAGCAGGAGCAGCGACGCGACCCAGAAGACCGAGTGGCGAGTGTACCAGGGCAGCCGCTTCGTGTCCCTCCGGGCGATGGCGAACTCCCGGAAGGTCACGTTGGTCAGGTCGAGCCCCTCGCGCATCTCCATGTAGTCGTCGCGGCGCTCGTTCTCCTGGGTGGTGGGTGGGGGGTGGGTGGTGGGGGGAGGGGGTAGAGGGTGGGTGTGGGTGGGGGAGGAGAAAGGGGTTGGGGTGGAAGGGGTGGGTGGAAGGGGTGGGTGTGGAAAGGGTAGGGGGTGGAAGGGGGAGGGGGTGGAAGGGGTGGAAGAGGTAGGGGGTAGGGGTGGAAGAGGTAGAGGGTGGGGTGTGGAAGGGGTGGAGGGTGGAAGGGTAGGGGGGTGGGTGGGGGAGAAAGGGGTGGAAGGGGTAGGGGGTGGGGAAGGGGTGGTAGTGAAGTCGTAGTTACTTTTTTTTATCATTATTATTATTTTCATTTTGTTTTAATCTATTATTATTTTTTAAAATAAAGCGAAATGGTTATCTATTTATACTTCACTCTGTCTATCTATAAATTAAATTGGGGGTAAAATCTCTCTTTTTTAAATGAGAATAGCTGTATTTCTATCTGTCTGTTAGTCAATCTATCTATAAATCTATTTCTAAATTTCGTCTGAAATGATTTTTTTTCTTTTCTTTTAAAGTGAAATGATCTAGTTATTTTTTTCTCTCTGTCTGTCAGTCAATCTATCTATCAGTCTATCTCAATTGCGTTTGGAGTAGTTTTTTTTAAAGTGAAACGATTATCTAATTATCTCTCTATCTCTTTTATTCAAGCCATCTATCATTCTATCTATTAGTTTCGCTTGGAGTATCTTTTTAAAGTGAAAAGACTACATAGATATCTTTCTGTCTATCTGTCAATCAATCTATCCAGCCATCTATTAATCCATTTCCTTAGGAGTAAGGTTCTTTTGTGAAGTGAAATGATTATCTAGTCATCTTTCTCTGTGTCTGTCAGTCAGTCTGTCTATCAGCCAATCTATCAACTGTGTTTAAAGTAGTTTTTTTGTGAAATTATTATCTATTTATCTTTCAATCTGTCTGTCAATCAATCTATCTATCGAGTTCCTTTGGGATAGTTTTTTAAAGTGAAATAATTATCGAGCTATCATTCTATCTATCTGTCAGTCTATCTATTTATTTATCTATCAACCAATCGATTTATCTGTCGATCTATCTATATATCTATCAATCTATCTATCAATGTATCTCTCTATCAGTCAGTAAATATATTTATCTATATCTATTTATCTATCAATCAATCAATCTATCTGTCAACATATCTATATATCTTATCATCTATTTGACTATCTATCAAAATAATATAAAAATGAGTATCACTGTCAAATAACAAAGACAGTAGTTGATGCAGAAAAAAAAGAAAAGAAAAAAAATGCTCATCCGTTAATTATCAAAAAATTTCAGACCTGATTTGTTAATTATCAAAAATTTTCAGAACTGATTTAATTTCTTAATCTGAGTAAACGAAACAATAAAATTTCTCTTCAGAATAGTTATTGGACGTACAAACAAACAAAAAAAAAAAGACACAAAAAACCATACATCTTCAAAAAAAAAAAAAAAAAAAAAAAAAAAAAAAAATCCAGCAACTCTTCATCAGGTTTCCAAAAACTTTTCCCTCCCTCCCCCCTCCAAAAAAAAAAAAAAAGAAAAAAAGAAAAAAAAAAGAAAAAAAAGAGGATTAATTACCTGGAAGAAACGAGATCTTTGTTCCTCAAACTCATTAGCTGTCTCTAAATTGGCGAATGCAAATCCTTTCGAAAATCTGGAAAGAAAAAAAAAAGAAGTATTGCGAGAGCGAGTTTTAAATCGGGACGAAATAAAGATTTATAGAAAGAAAATATATGCAGTGCTTGATTAGGCATTATAAAATGTATCTGTATAATGATAATATAATAATAATAATGATAATTATAATGATAATAATA